CGGTCTGGGAAGATGCCACATGCCGCGGAGCGGCTGGGCCTGTGAGCCATGGCCGCTGAGCCTGCGCGTCCGGAGCCTGTGCTCCACAACAGGAGAGGCCACAACAGTGAGAGGCCCGCGTACAGCAAAAAAAAAAAAAAAGGCAATAAAATGTAGAAGGACTAGAAAGGAAAAAAATAAAGATTATTCAGAGATAACATGATCTTATGTATAGCAAATCCAAAACAATCTACAAATAAAGTAATTAATGACTGAGTTTTGAAAGTTTGGTAAAATTCCATTTAGAAAAATCAGTGGTGTTTTTAATATAATAGCAACAGATAAACAAAAATTTTAAATTACTATTTATAATATCAAAAAACATCAAATGTGTAGGAATAGTAAAAATCAAAGATACGTAAAATCCCTTTACAGAAACTATAATAATATTAAGAGGAATTAAAGGAGACCTGAATAAATGAAGAGAGATAATATATTCATGGATTGGAGAGCTCAATATTACAGAGATTTCCATTTTTTCTAATTTTATCTGTAGACTTAGTGCAAACCCATAGTTCCACAGGCCTTTTTGTTTTAAATGGAAATTGTCAAGCCTGTTATAAAATTTATATGGATGTACCATGAACCAAGAGTAGCCTATATCAAATTGATAAGAACAGAGGCAGAGGACTATCAAAACTTACTTTAAGGCTACAATAATTTACATAGGTGAATTAGTGTAAGGACAGAGAAATGGCACAGAATTGATGGTCCAGAAACAAAAACACATAAATGGAAACTTGACTTATTGCAGAGGTAACCCTTGAGATTGAGGAGAGAAAGATTATCATTTGCTTCTTTGTTTTCTCAAATAAATTATGCTGGGTCAATCGGATATTCATACAGAAAAACACTCATCTTGGCTCTTGTCTCACATTATGCAGAAGCTAATTCCAGTTGGATTGTATATCTAAATGTGAAGGGTAAACCGATAGAGGTTCTGGAGGATAACTTCATGAAAGAAAGATATTTTCATGATTGAAAGACATCTTCATGAATGTGGGATGGGACAAAAAATTTTTTTCAAACAGGATACTGAAAGTGCTAACCATGGAGAATAAGGTCAATAAAATGGCCTGCATTCAAATTAGGAACTTCTCTGCCTTAAAAGACTTCTTAAGAGTGGGAGAACATATTTGCAGTATATACAGTCATCAAAGTGATTATACCCAGAATATATGAACAACTTGTACAAATATGTAAAGGACAAAAAAAAAAGAGAGAAAAATAGACAAGAGAGATGAATATGCACTTCACAAAAGAATATATCCAAATGGGTAGTTAACAAGCAAAAAGGGATAACTCCTTAGCCATCATGGAAATGTAAATTAAAACAATAGTGCTCACTCAAAAGTACAGATAAAATGAAAGAGTATGATAATTCTAAATTTCGGCAGGATTGGGGAGCACATATTTCTGGTCAGGGTATAAGTTGGTACAATCACTTTGGAAAATTGGCCGTATCTACAAATACTAAGCATACAAATACCATATGATCCAGCAATTCTACTCTTAGCCAACAGAAGTGCATATACATACGTTCACTAAAAGCTGTGCGCTAGAATGTTCATGGTGGCATTATTTAAAATACCTGAAAAATGGAAATAATGCAAATGTATGTTAACAGAAGGATGGATACATAAACCAAAGTAAATTTCCACTCTGGAATACTCCACAGTGGTGAAAACGACACCTGCTACATACAACAACATGGATGAATTTTACAAATAAGATATTGACTAAAAGGAGCCAGACACAAAATAATACTTTATGGTTCTATTTATGTAAAATTCAAAAACAGGTAAAACTAAAGAATGGTGTTAGAAATTATGATAGTGATAATATTTGGAAAGATGCAGTTGGGGAAGCCACAAAAGATTCAGAGGTTCTGCTAATATTTGGTTTTGTGGTCTAGGTGGTAGTTATAGAGGTTTGTTCACTTTGTGATATTTCATAAAGCTATGCCTACATAATGTGCATATTCCTCTGTATGTTAAAGAATTTAATTTAAAATTATCATTTTTGTAGTTTCCCAACTAAAAAATGATAAGTTTATATTAAACTATGAATATAAATAACTGGCATTAATAGAAAAAGTGGTCATGTTAATTAGAAAGCTTAAAATTACATCTAGAATTTTTATAAGTAGTTTAAATTATAGTTATTATAAATATTATGTTAGATTTTTTTTATTGAAGTATAGTTGACATGTAATATTATGTTTCAGGTGTACAACATAATGTTTTGATAATCAGATACATTACTAAATGATCATCACAATAGGTCTTGTTACCATCTCTCACCATGCAAAGTTATTACTGTATTATCGACTATATTTCCTATGGTATACATTGCATCCTTGTGACTTACTTATTTTGTGAGTGGAATTTTGTAACTCTTTATCCCTTTCACCTATTTCACCCAACCGCTCAATCCCACTCCCCTCTGGCAACCACCAGTTTGCTCTGTGAGTCTGTTTGTCTTTTGTTTGGCTTGTTCATTTGTTTTGTTTTTTAGATGCCACATATACATGAGATCATACAGTTTTTGTCTTTTTCTCTCTTGACTTATTTCACTCAGCATAAACCCTCTGGGTCCATCCATGTTGTCACAAATGGCAATATTTCATTCTTTTTTATGGTTGAGTAATGTTCCATTGTATATACCACATTTTTTTTATCCATTAATCTATTGATGACACTTAGGTTGCTTCCATATCTTGTGTGTTGTAAATAATGCTTCACTGAACATAGGGGCACATATATCTTTTTGAATTAGTATTTTTGTACTCTTTGGGTAAATACCCAGAAGTGGAATTGCTGGATTGTATGGTATTATTTTTAATTTTTTGAGAAACCTCCATAGTGTTTTGCACAGTAGCTGTACCAATTTACATTCACACCAACAGTGCATGAGGGTTCCCTTTTTTCATATCCTTGCCAACACTTATTTGTTGTCTTTTTGATGATAGCCATTCTGATATTGGATGCTTCTTTAATAATGCACTGTACATGTTACTGTTTTGAAAGTTTTTGGTAGTCAATAATTTTTGGAGTAGAAACATACAAAGCTGCTCCATTTTAGCTAGATCTTTCAAGTAAAACATGACTTTAAGTGTTTTCAGTTAACATACAACTTCCAGCGTACATTCACTGTAAGCTATTGAAGTTACAGAATTATTGTTAAGTTACTGAAACCCTGTATGTTGAGAACCTGTGCTTTTCAGATCCTTTGAGGATAATAAAGGCAATAAATACAATTTTACACTCTGTGTCTATATTCTAGTATTATAAGGTGAAGATATTATTTGAAATTGCTTAGGTAATGCTTTCTTAGATTATATAGACATTTGAATAGTGATAGGGGAAATTTCTTTATAGCTGCCTAATTTTGATTTTTGATATCTACTAAAAAGTGAAAAAAAAAATCACTATGAATGGAGTGGAACTAACAACAACCAAAGTGCTATACCCCATATTTTCAGTTAATAATTTTGTATGAAATAGTTTATTTTCTCCCCTTTTCTTTGTTAGTACATTGATACAGAATTGACAGTATATATTAGAATAAAATTCTATTATAATCATACAAGTTAAAATTTTTTCATTAAAACATATTTTAATATGAAACAATGTTCATTTGCTTCTCTTTCTTGTTTAATATTAAAAATGTCTAAAATGGGTATCAGTATTCACCAACCATGTTTCCTGATATCGTCTTTAAGTTGATTCTGCTCTGCCTCTGTGTGTGTGTGTGTGTGTGTGTGTGTGTGTGTATCTGAGGCATGTACTGTTACTAACACCAATAGATTTCAGAAATAATATTTTGTGTTGTTTATAAACTTAACAGTCAAGAAAATGTTAATGAAATAATCTAACTTTTTAACTATGTACCTTTAATAACAGACACTGAATCATAAATGAAAGAGGAATTTCAGCTATTTGGGCCTGGACATATATGTTGGTGTACAAGATCTGCCTTGTTAATTCAGTCATTTACTTAGTGACACATCCAGCAACCTATTTATATCACTATGGACTTAATCTACTCATAGATGATATTTCTACTCCCCACCTCATTGCTTACCTCTCTCTGCTTCAGTCACTCTGCTCCAGCCACCATTATGACCTAATTGCTGTTTTCACTAGCTACCAAGCACATTACTACCTCTGCACTTTCACTGATACCTCTGCCCAGATCTGTATTTCCCCGTACCCTCCATAGATTTCATTATATGTAGGTCTCCATTTAAATAACACCCTGAGATGCGTTCTCTGACTCTTCCCTCCATAATAATCCACATCATTCTCTGTTCTTATTCCCTTCCTCCTCCTTTATAGCATTTATACTACCTAATATTCTCTTACATTTACCTTTTATACATTTCTTAGTAAATACAAGATCCATGCGGGCAGAGACTCAATTGGTTTTATTTACTACTGTATTTCCAGCACATAGAAGCAAGATAGACCCATAGTAAGCACTCTATAGATATTTGTAGTTTCAGTGAATGAAGGAAGGAAGGAAATATAATGAATAATAGTATCAGTCTGCATAGCTCAGCCGTTAGTTGACTCTGCAGAATTCATTTATTTATTCTCTAAACAAATACAGGGTTGTTGTTAGTTCCAGCATGGCTCTCTTCGTAGGGATTGGGAGTAAATTTTAAGTAAGCCCTAATAATATAACAGATTTTTAATTTTGTTATTATCCTTTAAAGGAGGAGGGAAAGGGAAAGGGAGGAAAGCATACACATGGTATTTAACTTTGTCTTTTAGGAAATAAATAATGACTAAAAATGATATTTGTTCCAAATGCATTGTCTTTGTTCTTGTCTGTAATAATTTTAAAATATTGTAGTAACTGCTCAAGTACCACTTAAAGTTGTAGAGTTATGTTGTCTGTGTTTATTTTCCTATTTATATCTATTCCCAACTCACCCCACCACCACCTTTTTAAAGAATCCAACCCAGGTCGGAACAGCTCTTCAGGTTTTCCATAATCTTGGAACTTTGAAGGATACTATTACCAGTGTCGTGGATGGATATTGTGCTGCTATAGAAGAAAATATCCACAGTGCATTAGACATCAAAGTTTTGACTCAGCCTTCCCAGTCAGCTGTGAGAGGTATGGATGTGGTTTATCTTTAGCTTCTTTATTTATTTATAACTGAAAAGTCCTTTGAATAGTATGTGAAGCATTCAAGTTTCAAAGTAATCTAATGACTCATTTTTTAGTAGACAGAAAATGAGAGAAGAAATTATGTTTTAGAATTTATTTATAACTTTTTTTTGTCTAATCAGTGAGTTGAACTGGCCAATTGGTATATTCAGAACTTCTAGATAAAATCTGTAAACTATGGCTTCATTTAGTTCAGAGGAAACAGATGCAAGAAAAAAAAAAGGAACATATTTTTCTTTCTGAAATCCTTATCCTCACATGTACTTCTTATTGAGACAGAAAATATTTTTTAAGGAAATACAGTCTCTACTTTATCTTTCTGGGCTTTTGTATAACTCTCATACTCAGGAGCAGTAATGGGTAAATGTGGAGACAGAAGTTGATAAAAGCTTTGGGAACATTACAACTATAGCACAATCTAAAGAAAACCAGAAACAGGTAGATTCAAGGTAGCAGTCCCAACCCTTTTCCTGCCAAAAGATACCCGATGATGACATTCACATACATAACACACTTCATAGACACGAAAGACTACGTGTTCTGTGTACCTCTCATTTTTCTAAGCAACACCAACTCTGCATTTCTCTCCTTAAAATCTTTCCTCTCTCCTGTTAATGCGGATGGACTGTACTTGCTCCTAGCAGAGACCAAGTACTCTGCTTTTGCATTAGATCCCATCACTCAAAGGCGTTGCTTTCACAGATCCCCTCTCTCTACCACATCATCAGTTTTTCCTTTATTATGTCTCTTTCCCATCACATACAATCGTGCTATTGTATCTTCTTCTGCTTAAAGACAAACAAATCTATCTTGACTCAGTTTCTTTCTTCAGTTTTACCACCTTATTTTATTTAGACTATAGAAAAATTACCCAAAGTGTTGTCTATACTGCTTGCCTCCAGTTTTTCTCTTCTTATTTTTCTATTGAACAAGATACTCTAATACCATCGAGTTGTCCTTAAGAACAAATAATACATGTAAAATTAATAACAGTTCTTGATATAGGGCTAATACTAAAAAATATTTGCAGTCATTATTATTTTTATGTTTGCTATATAAACATAACCTTAAATAACACAGAATATATGTCCCTCATAAATAATTTGCACGAGATAAAAAGAGATAAAAGAATCTTAGATCTTAAAGGAATTTTTAAAGGTTAACCCTAGCCTCTGAATAGGTCTGTATTAAGACCATCCCAGAAGGAGAGCTTTGGAAAGAAATTGCCAGAGGAGATTTTACTCTCAGCTTTTCCCAGCAATTATTCTCAAAAAGTTTGATCTAATGTTTAAATTTCCAGAGGCAGTTTAATCTCATTCCCTCTTGTGTTGTCAAGAATAGGAAAAAAATGAAAGCAATTATTCACATCCTGTCAGTGCTAATGTATGCTCCCTTTTTCTGAAAGAATAAAGAGTTTAAAAGCCTTATTATCATCTGTTGAGGAGTGGATACCATGATTTAATGTAGAAACCCTACTCTTTATTATTTTTTAAAAGAATAATCATTGCTATTTTTATTTTTTAAAATGTTACATTGGCAGGATTAATGTTAATTGCCTGATCTTGTTGGTTATATTGAGATAATGTAGTAGAATGTCATTTTTGTTGGAAATACACATTAAAGCCTTCAGGGGTGATGGGGCCTCATGTCAGTAACTTATTCCCAAATGATTCAGGGAAAAATATTTTTTACTATACTTCAAAATTTTCTATACGTGTAAGATTGTTTCAAAACTTACAAAATAAATAACATTATTATAATTATATGGGAACACGTTACCCAAAATGTATCTAAAAGTTTATAAATCACTAAGGAAAATATAAATAACTCAATTGAAAAAAATAGATAAAGGATATGAATAGGCAGATCACAGAAGAACATATCCAGTAAACATGAAAAGATGTTCCGCCTCTTTTTAGAGGATATGAACTAGTTATTAGGGAAAAACAAATGATGCAAGATCCTATTTATCAGTCGTGAGACTGGCAAAATCTAAATCTAAAACAGAACTAAATGTTGGATGAGGGCAGGAACTCTTATACTCTGACTGTAGGAGAATAAAATGTTTCAAACATTTTATTCAGTTTTATCAAACTGCTCACTGAGATTAAAAATGGGTTTACCTTATAATCTTATAATTTCTCTTTTAAGAGTAAACCCTAGAGAAACTCTGGCACATATGTATAAGAATTTTTATTACTATTATATAATAGCTAAACACTGAAAACAGTCTTTCCTTCATTGGAAAAATGAATAAACTTGCTTATTTGTTAAGTAGACTACTATACAATATTTAAATTTATAAATTTTATCAGTGTAGATAATTCTCAGCTCCCTTACATGAAAAAGCAAGTTGCAAAAAGATACAGTATGATATTGTATTTAAAGCCTGAGAACATGACAGATGGTGCTATGTATTGCTTTACATATATGCAGATGTAATGAATGTATAAATATATGCCTTCCAATAATAATCATTAATTTCAAAATAACATGAGCTCTGGGGAGAGAGCAAGGAAAATGAGACCAGGAACGAAGAGGTATATTTAGGGACCTTCACTTTATTCATTCATCCTTTTTAAAAATTTTATTTTTTAAGACTGTTTTTTAGAGTATTTTTACGTTCACAGCACAATTAAGAGGAAGGTACTGAGATTTCCCATATACCCTCACCCCCACGCGTGCACAGCCTCTCTCATGATCAGCATCCCCCAGCAGAGTAATACATTTGTTACAGTTGGTGAACCTGCATTGACATGTCATAACCACCCAAAGTCCATAGCTTACAGTAGGGTTACTCTTAGGTTTCTGCATCTATGAGTTTGGACGAATTTATAATGAATGACGTATTTCCATCATTATAATATCAAACAATATTTTCATGGCCCTAAAAATCCTCTATGCTTCGCTTATTCATCTCCACACTCCCAGCCCTGTCAACCACTGATCTTTTTATTGTCTCCATAGTTTTACCTTTTTCAGAATGTTATGTAGTTGGAATTCTACATCATGTAGCCTTTGCAGATTGGCTTCTTTCACTTAGTAATAAGCATTTAAGTTTCCTCCATTTCTTTTTTTTTTTTTTTGCGATACGCGGGCCTCTCACTGCTGTGGCCTCTCCCGTTGTGGAGCACAGGCTCCGGACGCGCAGGCTCAGCGGCCATGGCTCACGGGCCTAGCCACTCCGCGGCATGTGGGATCTTCCCGGACCGGGGCATGAACCCGTGTCCCCTGCATCGGCAGGTGGACTCCCAGCCACTGCGCCACCAGGGAAGCCCTCCTCCATTTCTTTTCATGGCTTGATAGCTCTTTTTTTTTTCAGTGTTGAATAATATTCCATTGTATGGATGTACTACAGTTCATTTATCCATCCACCTAGTGAAACATCCTGGTTGCTTTTAAGTTTAGGCAGTTATGAACAAAAGCTGCTGTAAACATCTTTGTGCAGGTTTTTGTGTGGACATAAGTTTTCAGCTCCTTGGGGTAAATACCAAAGAGCACAATTGCTGCATTGTACGGTAAGAATATGCTTAGTATTGTGAGAAACCACCAAACTGTCTTCCAAACTAGCTTGACCATTTTGTGTTCATGCCGTCAGTGAATGAGGGTTTCTGTTGCTCCCTATCCTCACCAGCATTTGGTGTAATCACTGTTCCAGATTTTGGCCATCTAATAGATATGTTATGGTATCTCAGTGTTGTTTTAATTTTCATTTCCCTGATGCTGTATGATATGGATCATCTTCTCGTATGCTTATTTGCCATCTGTACATCTTCTTTGGTGAGGGAGGTGTCTGTTAAGGTATTTGGCCCGTTTTTTAATTGGGGGTGTTTCTTACTGTTGTAAGAATTTTTATTTTGGGTAGCAGTTTTTTCAGATGTGTCTTTTGCAAATATCTTTTTTTCCAACTCTAAGGATTGTCTTCTAATTCTCTTATTTGTCTCTTCCAGAATAGAAGTTTTTAATTTTAATGAGGTCCAGCTTATCAATTATTTCTTTCATAGAACATGTCTTTGGTATTGTATCTAAAAAGTCATTGCCATACCCAAAGTCATCTGGGTCTTCTCCTTTGTTATCTCCTATGAGTGTTACAGTTTTGCACTTTACTTTTAGGTCTGTGATCCATTTTGAGTTAATTTTGGTGAAATATGTGAGGTCTATGTCTAGATTCATTGTTTTGCATGTGGTTATTGAGTTATTCCAACATGATTTGCTGAAGGTTCTACTGTTGCCGAATTTATTGCCTTTGCTCCTTTTTCAAAGATAATTTGACTATATTTATGTGGGTGTATTTCTGAGCTCCCTATTCTGTTCCATTTATCTGTCTTTTTTGCTAATACCACATTGTCTTGATCACTGTAGCTTTATAGAATGTCTTGAAGTTGGCTAGTCAGTCTTCCAACTTTATACTTTTTTGTCAATATTGTATTGGCTCTTCTGGTTCTTTTGCCTCTCGATATAAACTTTAGAATCCGTTTGTTGATATCCAAAAAATAACTTTCTACAATTTGGATTTGGATTGCCTTGAATCTATAGATCAAATTGGGAAGAACTGACATCTTGACAATATTGATTGTTCCATCAATGAACATGGACTATTTCTCTATATACTTAGTTCCTCTTCGATTTTGTTCATCAGAGTTCTGTAGCTTTCCTCGTAAAGATTTTGTACCTATTTTGTTAGATTTATTTATACCTAAGTATTTCATTTGGCCGGGGGGGTAACACACATGATATTTTGTTATCAAATTCAAATTCCACTTGTTCATTGTTGGTATATAGGAAAGCAATTGACTTATGTTCATTAACCTGGTATCTTACAACTTTGCTATAATCACTGATTAATCCCAGGACTTTTTTGATTGGTTCTTTCAGATTTTCTACACAGATGATTGTACCATCTGCAAACAAAGACAGTTTTATGTCTTACTTCCCAGTATACACCTTTCTTTCCTTTTCTTGCCTTACTGCATTAGCAAGGACTTCCAGTATAATGTTGAAAAGTGGTGGTGAAAGGGGACATTCTTGCCTTGTACCTGATCTTAATGGGAACATTTCTCATCATTAAGTATGATGTTAGCTGCAGGCTTCTTATAGATAGTCTTTATTAAATTGAGAAAATTCCCTTTATACTTAGTTTATTGAGAGTTTTTACCATTAATGGCTGTTGGAGTTTGTCAACTATGATCAAATGTATTAATGTGATTCTTCTTTTTTTAGTCTGCTGATGTGATGGATTATGTAAACTGTTTTTTTTTTTAAATTTATTTAATTTTATTTTTGGCTGTGTTGGGTCCTCGTTGCTGCACGCAGGCTTTCTCTAGTTGCGGTGAGCAGGGGCTACTCTTTGTTGTGGTGTGCGGGCTTCTCATTGCGGTGGCTTCTCTTTGTTTTGGAGCACGGGCTCTAGGTGCGTGGGCTTCAGTAGTCATGGCATGAGGGCTCAGTAGTTGTGGTTCGCGGGCTCTAGAGCACAGGCTCAGTAGTTGTGGCGCACATGCTTAGTTGCTCCGCGGCATGTGAGATCTTCCTGGACCAGGGGTCGAACCCGTGTCCCCTGCATTGGCAGGCTGATTCTTAACTACTGCACCACCAGGGAAGCCCTGTAAACTGGTTTTTGAATGTTGAACCAGGCTTACATACCTGGGATAAATCCCATTTGATTATGGCGTAAAATTCTTTTTATACATTTTTAGATTTTATTTGCTAATATTTTGTTGAGGCTTTTTACATCTATGTTCATGAGGTAGTGGTCTCTAGTTTTATTTGCTTGTAATATCTTTATTATCTAGAATAACAATTCACCATCTTGTTATTTCTGTCGACTTTCGGAATGCTGCTTTCTTCAAACTTTGAACGCTTTTTTTGCTCTCTGGCCCAGTATGTACCAGGTTCACCTTCTATTTTTACCGCTCCAGGTACGGAATCACTTTTTTCTTCAGTAAGCCTTGGCTTCTTTTATTGGGGAATGGTGCATAGAGATTGAAATTTGGATATCAGGCATGCTCATTTCTATTAAGGAGTTGTCATCTCTCTGTCCTTTAGTGAACAGAATTGACAGATACCTCCAATTCCCATTACTCATTTGTATCTTCGTTCTGTTTATAGTGAGAACCTTCATTTGCACCATTCTAAAATAGACTTAGTTTCAATATTACTATCAAGCAACACATCTATTAAGTAAAATACAATATTTCTTTGTGATTCTTTTTGCCCCTAAAATATATCTTACTAAAGTCAGGATGCTGTAATTAAAAATTACTTGAATTAATTATTTTCCTGTGTGTGGTGGTTGTATTATTAATTTGAAGTACCATTAGTTTTATGTGTTACTGTATTTGTTTGTATTTAGTTTTAGAGTTTGCTTTTTCATTCTTTTAAAATTTAAATTTATTTTGAAACATCAGCATATAAGACGTTTGTATGGTTCACAGATACTCACCGCTTTTATTCCTGTTCCTTTCACCTGCTACTACCTCCCACCTCTTCAACTCCTCCTTCTAGGAAACCTTTCTTATTAATTCCTGTTTTCTGTATTATCCTTCCTGGGCGGGTGTGTGTGTGTGTGTGTGTGTGGTCGTATTTTCCTTTCTTAAACACAAAAGGTTAAGATTCTTTTTTATGTCACTTATGAGAAATTATAATTTCTTCAAAAAGGAACTTCTCATCTTTTAGCCTGTATGTGCTTTTCATAATAACGTATCAGTACATTTTGTTATATTTGGAAATTTTTATTTTTCATGTTTTTCTCTTGCTCATACCAGGGGCACCTGGACGATCTACCATGCCAGCCCCAGGAAACACTGCAGCGTTTCGTGCTTCCCTTTGGACCAATATGGAGAAACTTGTGGATCATATTTTTACTGTTTGTGGCCAGGTAAATATTTGAGAGAGTGAAAATAACATTAATTATGGGTTAATTCCTGGTTATTCTAAATTGTGTGACCTTGGGCAGGTTTCTTAAAATCTCTGAGAGTTCAAAATACCTACATTAGCTAATTATAATATATGTAAGGGCTCTAGCAAAATGTCTTTTCCCTTCCCTTAATGTTTCTAATGCCTATGCTTAATAGTTGTTTCATTTGAAAATACTCAGTTATATACATTCTCCCTCTCTTCCCCCTTTTTAGGTACAACATCTGCAAAAAATATTAGCCAAGAAGAGAGACCCTGTCTCTCACATTTGTTTCATTGAAGAAATAGTTAAGGTATGTTTAAATTAAAGTATTTTTATCTCTTTATAAAAGAATGCAGGAAGATAATGAGCCAGATTATTTGTGTTCCTGTCTGACAGAGAGGCTACATGTCAGATAGCTAAAGGGAAGTATATTTCTTGACAACCACAAATTTTCTTTGCATGTTTGTTTATTGAGTAGATGCTAGCTAATACTATTTATAGAATAATTCTCAAATGCATATAGTAATTTCCCATTTTTTAATAATATAAATGATTTATTGTAAAAGTTTTTTAAAGTCCCAATAGAGAATAAGATAAAAATTTTTGGTATATAAGAGATTTAATTAGTGGTTGTTATAATGCCTTATAAAGTCTTCTCTGAAGATGGTACAATCCATTCGGTTGTTAATTTTTCCTATAAAGCACTTTAATGTATTATTTTTTCATATTCTAAAGTCTCCCTTCTGTCATCTACCAATCTACTGGCCTCGTGGGCCACAAGAATTCCTTCCATGCATAGAAATCCCTGACTCTACATTTTATTCATTCATTTTGATATGTTTTTGATAGTGATGAATGGAATAACTAGATATTCTGTTCATTAAATCTTAACACCTAGTGCTTCAAAGAAAAAGATTCTCTAAGTTTCTGTCATCGTGGTGTAGGTAGTTTACTTTGTAGTTCAGAATTTTAAATATTTTATTTCCTGTGTTGGGGATCTCCAAAACCACCCCCAAATTTGGTGATTTGCTAGGAGGATTCATAGCACTCAGTACATAGTCCTGCTTGTGGCTGTGATATGTTATAGTAACAGTATATAAACCAAGTCAGACAGAGAAAGACAAATACTGTGGAATCTAAAAAACAAATGAACAAACGTAACAAAATAGAAATTAAGTTACAGATACAGAGAACAAGCAGGTGGTTGCCAGAGGGGAGCCGGGAAGGGGAAATTGGATGAAGGTAGTCAGAAGGTGCAAACTTCCAGTTACAAGATAAATAAATACTAGGAATGTAATGTGTAGCATGATGAATATAATTAATTAATATAATTAAGACTGCTGTATGTTATATATGAAAGTTGTTGTGATATTGCTGCATTGGGCAAAGTTTCTACATAAAAACTCACATATCAGTTCTTGTCAACAGTTATTATACTGGATGAACACTGGGCGAGGTTTTAAATGCATGTGAATTATTTCTAACTAAAAAGGATTATGAGGAATAGGGATATATGCTTTCATTGTATTCGTCCTTTTCATTTACTTAAAAATATTTCTTATTTAATTAAAGCCAGAGAAGATTGCTCTTCCAAATATTCTTCTTACGTTTTTTAAGACAGTAGTCGTACACAATACACACATACATATTTACATTTATTATAAATTTTAATGTAACTTTACAGTTTAGTTGTTGTTTTTTCTTATAAGGTGATATTTATGAATAAAAATTTAGTCCCTCTTGGGATTCAGTATACTCATCTATATTCAGAATAGATCAATCTGTTTTGGAAAGTCCAGAATAACTTGTGACCTTGCAATTTTGGGAACTCTAGGACAAAAGAGAAGTAAAAATACTCTAAGGAAAATATGTCATAAATTGCAAAGATAGCACATAAAATTTACTATATTTGCTATAATTTCTTTAGTCTTTTCCTTCGTTAAAAAGCTGTAAACAGATATTTTTGCTAATTATATAACTACAATGTAAGAGTATTATTTAGTTAAAATAATTATCAGTGGCAGTAGAACCTTTATAAAAAGTATAGGATTTTTACAGTGATTTGAGGCCCAAATAATAATCCTTAAAATCTTCATAAAATTTTAAACTTGAGTAGGTGATGGTATATATCTTGGGTCATTGAAGAGCAGTTTCTGAACCAAGATCTCTAAATCATTTTGTAATCTGTTTTTGAGGAAAATGTTATAAACAGAATGTTCTTACACTACTAGGTTTTTTTTGCAGCTTCAAGATTTTTAAGGATATATCCTGGTATTGAAAGTTCTTTTTAATTTAGTGGTTTAGCCTTTTAAACCTCTGAATATATTTTTAAAAAATGAAAACAGTGTAAATAATTCAAGATGAAATGATTTAGAATTTATGTCATATGCTTTCTACAATATCTATGTAGAAATTAATGCTTTTTTCCTAGGAAGATAATTTCTAGCAAGTAATTTTTTTTTAGATTGCAATCTACCAGAACAGATTTTTAAAATTTATGTATTAAATTTTTTTTGTTGTTTTTTGCGGTATGCGGGCCTCTCACTGTTGTGGCCTCTCCCGTTGCGGAGCACAGGCTCCGGACACGCAGGCTCAGCGGCCATGGCTCACGGGCCCAGCCGCTTCGTGGCATGTGGGATCTTCCTGGACCGGGGCACGAACCCATATCCCCTGCATCGGCAGGCGGACTCTCAACCACTGTGCCACCAGGGAGGCCCCTGTATTAAATTTTTATAAGTTGTAGTCCACATTTTGAAATTCACTGAAAGCTAAATTAATAGATATTTTCTCTTTGGTTTATAATTTAAATATAAATGAAATTACACTATTAATTTCATGTCAAGTAGGAAAATTAAGAATTAATTTTCCAGGTTTCTTTGTTTTAAACCACTTGATTCTAATGCTTCTGTAATTAACTATAAAGTGTGATGGAATTTCCGTGTTTGACTTCTTGCCAACTTGTTTCTTTTCTACAAAAACAAAACAAAACTGTACTTTACATTTTCCTTTGTTAAGTAATTTTTGTAATTTATTCTTCTTTTGCTGTAGTTCAATACCTGTAGATTTCTTTAAAAAGTAATGATTTTTAATTTTTAGAACAGCTTTAGGTGTACAAAAAAATTGAGCAGAAAATACATCTGATACTTGCTAGGTTATCATAACATCTCTTGTGCATTATACAAAACTTATAAATGTACTACATAGTGAGCTAATCCTAATGTAAACTATGGACTTTAATTATTAATAATATATCAGTCATGGTTCATCAGTTGTAACAAATGTACTATACCAGTGCAAGATGCATAATGCATTATGCAAATACATAATTTCCTGCGTCCACCATTTATAGTATCATGCAAAAGAGGTTCAGTAGTTTTACTTCCTTAAAAATCTTCTGTGCTCCACCAGTTCATCCTTCTCCCACTTATCTCCTTAACCCCTGGCAACCACTGATCTTTTTACTGTCTTTAGAGTTTTGTCTTTTTCAGAATATCATGTAATTGGGATCATACAGTAGGTTGCCTTTTCATACTGGTTTCTCTCACTTAGTAATATGCATTTAAGGTTTCTTCGTGTCTTCATTGCTTCATTGCTCATTTTTTTAATCACTGACTGATATTTTACTCTGTGGATATACCTAGTTTGTTTTACCCATTCACCTATTGAAGGACGTGTTGTTGCTTCCATTTTTTGGCAATTATTATTTAAATTGTTACAAACATTCATGCACAGATTTTTGTGTGGATATAAATTTTCAGCTCATTTGAGTAAATACCAAGGCATGTGATTGCTGTATCTTATAGTTAGACTATGTTTAGCTTTGTAAGAAACCGCCAAATTGTCTTCCAGTGTGGCTGTATTATTTTGCATTCTCATTAGAAAGAAACAAAGTTCCTGTTGTTCCACATCCTTGTCAGCATTTGATATTGTCAATGTTTTGGATTTTAGCTATTCTCATAGGTATGTAGTGGTATCTCATTGATTTAATTTATATTTCCTTATGGATTTTTTAAAAAAAAATTATATTTATGGGAGAAACTTGATTAGTTAAGTTCCTAAGACTTTATCTGTAGGCAAATGAACTGCCTTGCCATGCTCATTATTTAAAATTTATCTGTTACAGTCAATCCAAGTGCTTAAAATATCTTAAAATATTCTAAGGTAATTTTTATAGGATTAAGTATAGTTTTTTTTAGCATTTGGACAGCCAAATAGTTTCAAGGTTACATTTCTGAATACCTCTTCAAATAGTGTTAAAGGCAGGACAGTACAGTGATTAAGAGCTGGGTCCTTGGGCCCTGGTATCAGACAGAGCTAAGATTTCCTACCTTGATTATGCAACCTTGGATAGGTCCTATAATCTTTAAGACCATCACATATCAAATGGAGGTGGTAATACTACCTATAAGCTGAGGTTTTCTGAAGGAAAATTAGATAATGTAGACTTAATTCAGAGATGGGCCCATTAATTTTCTATCATGATTATTATTTCAGTCTTTTTTTTTAAACTTTGAAACTTTTATTTAGGGGTCATAAAGTTACCATGTGCATGGTAATAAAAAACCTTACTGTGTGAGAAGGTCAGTTTTTTTTTAAACAGTTCTAATAACATGATATGCATGTATATTCATGCTGAGAATTAGAAATTTAAGAAATCTTGTTTCCTTGAATAAGACAGTATCAAGGATTTACTATGAATGTGTCATGATTATATGTCTCACTTTACTAAAGAATCATGGGTTTATGATCTAACATTTGGTAATTCTGTAGTCATAAAAACAGCGAGGATGGTTTTCCTTCATTCTGTGAGGTCTTGTGAGAATTGTTAAATCATTTATATTCTTTTAGTAGGCAAAAAAATGGGTTTACTTTAAAAACGTTTAGTTTTGAGGTTAATATTGCCAAATCTGCCTTGCTGTTTGTTAAGATATCTGATTTCAGATGATAGAGAGAACTGTACATATTAGTATTCAGAGTCTAATCTTAGGTATGTACAAGAGGAGAAAAAAACCTACATGATGATAGTTTCTGGAATGCTTTATTAGCTCAGGAGGTTTTGTAGTAGATGTTTATCATGTTATAAAGAATACATCATAGTGTAAAGAGGGCATAAATGCACTGAGTATAAAATAAAACTGGGCCAATTATATCAAGTATAATAAATCTTAAGAATACAGTGTTAATATAAAGCCTTCTGAAAACTTTTCCTTAATTAAGATAACTAATGCTGCTTCTGCTTAATTTAATAAATGTTCTGGCTAACTTGTAAAATTAGCCTGTTATTTTCAGTTCATACTATAAAGTTGCAGA